TACAATGGAGATTAAAATAGTCCTTGCCCACGTGAAGTGCTAGCACTGATTCTCTTTTAGGACCAGCTATCCAATTTATCTCCTGTGTGATCATGTACCTCTAACCCAGGCAGGTCTGAAAGCATCTGGAACAACAGCCATAGGGTTCAAGTGAGTATGCTGATCCCCAAGAGTACTTCTCTGAAGGATAACTATCATTTAGATTTGGATTTGTAAATTCTGGTAAGGTAGTTTAAAAATTATTTTACAATCCTGGGTTTGTAGGTTTTTACCATAAATCTATACTGAGGGACACGTTGCAGGCAGAAAATACATGCTTCCCTCTTGTTCCTTATCTTAACTGTGAACATCTTTGCTAAGCAACCACATTTGTGAGGACTTAGGAAAGCTAGAGCTTTTGGGGAGCTCTGGAGAGGGCCTAATCTACTTGTCTCAATCTTAGATGAGAAAACACACAACAAAAAGAAAACAAAACAGGCTGCGTGACCTCCCCAAGGAAACCTGGCCCAGTCAATAACGCAGGTGTCCAGTGTCTAAGCTCTGAACTCAACTCTGGCCCGTGATTCTGCAGCAATGGTCCAACATTACAATTTTAACGTAAGAAAAGAATTCACTGAGATATTTTTCATACATCATGCAAGTCACATGACAACCCTACAAGGTGGGTGTTGTTACCCTCACTCTACACATGCGGAAACAGGATCACGGGCTCAATATCTTGTCTAAGGTCCTAAAGACCACAAATGGCAAACCCAGTGGAGCTCCAGTTCCGGCAATGAACTGACGCTCCTTGCCACCCGGTACACACATGGAAAGGCACAGGCTTAGAAAACCGAGCGCACCGCGTTTCCCTGCTACACCCCTCCTCAGTCTCGAGGCTTCTCCAGGCGAAAATACAAACCATCCTCATCTTTCTGACCCTGTGAAACACTCAGCCTCTTCCCGGGTATTGTAGCTGCCTGGAAGTAATAAAACAGTTATCTTTGAAAAAAATCTATAATTTGGAATTTTCCCTATCTTATATTGACCATCCCACCCATAGATCAGCTTGAATCAATGAGTCTTACTATACATTTAACATGGTCAGATTACTCTGTCAAAAGAAAAGAGCATGAAAGCAAAAATCAGGTTTGTTGGCTGGTTGCGTATTTATGTATGTATGCATTCCTTATTTATTTATTTTGCTTGGCCCCTCTTTACCCCTCATAGCATAAAGGGAGATTATTATCATTATTCCTGCCTGAATTAGAAGTAATCAGAATTGGGGTGCCTGGGTGGCTCAGTCGGTTAAGCGTCCGACTTCAGCTCAGGTCATGATCTCACCGTTCGTGGGTTCAAGCCCCGCTTTGGGCTCTGTGCTGACAGCTCAGAACCTGGAGCCTGTTTCAGATTCTGTGTCCCCCTTTCTCTCTGCTCCTTCCCCACTTGCACTCCCTCTCTCTCTCAAAAATAAACATTAAAAAAAATTTTTTTAAAGAATCAGAATTAATGAAATTCAAATTTGCTATTAGATTCAAGATATTATTACCAGATAGTATATACTTATTAGAAATAATTAACAGGACACAAATATTTCTAAAGCTATTATTAAAATAGAAATAATCAGGCTTCTCTAAGTCTTGATTATCTTTTCCTTTCTTTTTCTTCTTTTTTCTTAAAAATAATAACCCTTGCTCTGCTTAGGCTGGTGACAAGAATGTTAATTTTAATTAATCCTTGCAATTAAGTATTAAAGCTATCCCTTGCCATCCCATAAGGCCCTAGGAAATAAATCCATATATTGCTGGCACTATAATTTACCGGACTGGAGTTACTCAATTATTTGGAATACACATATATGTTGATTTTAGGAATTTATTGAAAGAAAAAAAAAACTTTCCAGGAATAGCTTGGTGTTACAATTTTCTGATCAAGTGAGGGTCTTACACAGAAAACACCTTTGTTTCTATTCTTTTAAAACCCTTCTTGGTAGGTTTTCAATCCTTCCTGTCCACCTTAGGCCACAGAAGTGAGCATAGCTGAATCTTTCTTTTATAACTGGGTACGCTGTTGTCTCTGATAACTTGATCTTATGTAGCTACAAAGATGCAGAAGTTCTACAAAATTGAGCTGACTGGAAATGACCCCTGAGCATTTAAAAAAAATGTTAAAAAAGACAAGAAGTCAACCATAGAGAAACAAAAATCTCTAATATTTAGCCTGTGTGTTTGTGGGGCTGCTGAGTAAGAGGGGGATTGCTGGTTAAGTGAGTATCCTAATTAATTGATATTCTGCTGTTCTAGTAATACTAAAAATGGACTCATTTGTTCACTTGTCCAACAAGTATATACAGAATTTCCAGAATTCTCCCAGGTGTTTGAGATATACCAGTGGACAGACCAAACAAACAAACAAACAAACAAACAAACAAAAACCAAAAAAACCAAACCAAAAAACTCCTACCCTCATGGAGCTGACATTCTAGCAGGGGAAGAATGGAGTATGGTGAGGGGAATCAGAGTTTAGAGGAACAGGAGGTACAGTTTTGAAGGGGGTGGTCAGGGTAGGCCTTATTGAAAAGATGACATTAGGGCAAAGAAATGATGGAGATGAGACAGCATGGCAGGTAGCCATGGGGACAGGACATATAAGGCAGAGGGGACAGCAAAAGCAAAGGGCTAGGGGGAAGAGATACCCGGCCAGAGAGGTCAAAGGAGAGGGAGGGAGGGGGGGGGGGGGGGGGTCAGGGTGGTAGGGACTGGGTGTGTGTGTAGGGGTGAGAGCGAGAGAAAGAGAAAACGTATGTATTAGAGGATAGCGTGATTGTTTTCCTCCCTTGACCTTGATTCCCCGTCAAGACTAGAAAAAGCCATTAGGCTGAAACACCACGGTAGTTTGGCCACAGATCAAAATAAAAACGCAATTATTAGAGTAGAGACAGTTTTGGATTTCACTTTTGGATTGCTGATCCGATTTTCAAGTGCTTTGACAATGTGGGTCTATGAGATGAGACAATGTGGTTGCCTCTACCTTATGGTTGGGATAACAGAGCAAACTTATTAGTCGAAGCCAGACAGAAAATAACCCTTCTCATTCCTGGCAGCCAGACCAGTTTCCGGGAATCCTGATAGATCACATGAGCTTTTGCTTTTAAAGCTTACACGCAACTGCATTAAGTTAAACTTCTTTCGCTCATTTAAAAAAAACAAACAAACAAACCTAGGTTTAAACATAAATGAAGTATGCCTGTCTGCGAAGGGAATAATTACCACGTACATGCGCAAAATCGTCAGATTCATTTGGATAGCCTAATTATACTTAAGACACAGATTTTTCAGAAAGGCGCTCTTCCTTGCTAAATGACTGTCAATATGAAAATACATGGCATTGGTTATTTCAGCTAAAGAATGTCAAGAACTGAATAATCAAGCATTAGGTTACAAAGTTTAAAAGTTAATACAGCCGCACAGAGTATTTGTATTAGTGCTTTAAGTAGCTAAATTAAATTGAAATGTGTCTCTTAAGCAGTCATTGAACAAGCAAGATGAGAAATAAATTGAGCTTCACTTAGGCCTTTATGGCATCTAACAACTGTGTCTGTCAACACACGGATCCTTTTCACTGTCAATTCAACACACATTTTGCAGACCTTGGGCCTGCAATTATTTCATTTCCTTTCTTGGAAATGTAATTTCCACTTACTTTTGGAGAATAAAAGACAGACAAAAGGAGGAAGGAGTTGCAGTATTTTCTGATTAAGATTATCTGTATAAAATGGTAAAGGGAAAAAAAAAATCTATACGCACACGCTGAAGCACATCTCAGCAACTAACCTGTCTCGGCCAAATTGCTTTTGTGTCTGGGTATTGGTTCAAATGCAGCCAGACTGTTGATGTCAAATTAGGTGTTGAACAAATTTAATAGGAAAGATGAAGAATGAATATAGATCATCTTTTTGTTGGAATAGTTCAAATGACCCCAGTGAAAAGAAAGGAAACACATGACCGCAGGAGAAAGTGTGCTTTTAATTAAACACAATGAAATGAGATAAAACTGTAAATCGGCAAAGAAGTCCATTCATTCCAAAAGGGGGGGGCGGGGGAGTTAATCGTGCCCGGCGAGAGCAACACAAGAGTGGAAGAAAATACCAGTTGGCAAAAATAGACCTAAATTGAATTTCCACTTCGTTTGTCCAGGCTTCACCTTTTACACCAGGACAGGTACAGCTACAGAAAAGGGTTCTTTCTCTCCTGATGGAACAGGAAATCCAAGGTTTCAATTAACCATGATTACAATATTCGGCTGACCTGATCTGTCTCACCCCTTCCTTTTCTTCAAGTGGCAAACCAGCTGACCGTCTGGCAACAGAACTACAGCAAAACTAGAGGAATTCCGAGAAGAGCTTGCCTTTGCTGTAAGACAAACCGCCCCTCCACGGGATCCGTCCGCAGCACACTGAACAGCAGGATTTACTCTTTGGCAGGGTGCCACTTTCAGAGCAAGTCTGCAGAGATCACTCTTTACATAGGATCTCTTCACTCTCGAGAGGGAACCATATTTAAGGCACACTGTTGACTGAGGACCAGAAAATAAGGTTCTAAAAATGTCCCCTTCAAAGTACACGTGAAGAGGATATCTACTACCTCCTGGAAGATCTAGCATCTTCCTTGATGGCTCAGAAATCATTAAGAGGGATGATCCGAGCATTTAATCCTGGAAGAATGATTAAGCTCCTTGTGACACCGAATAATTCGTCAATTCTCTGTGCAGAAGAAGAACCGGGTTGCCAAACGTTAGTTGAGGGGAAGGGATTCTCTCGACACGTATCTGCTCTGGATCAGAATAAGACCTCTGAGCTAGGAGCCTAGAATCACAAGTTGGCTCATCAAACGGAGGAAGGAGAGTAGTTACTGGCTAACTCAACCCAAATCTCTCTGAAGGGGAATAAAGCAAAGTAACACACAGTTAAGTCATCACAGATTCTTCTACACACTTACTTAGTAAAGAGCATCATTACTTACTGAAATGTGACCTTGGAACTTGTACATCCTTCCAATTTACACGAGCCTTCACCTGGCTCAGGTGTTGGGGGGGACGGACTGTTGAATTCTGCCTCCAGAGTTTTCTTGTTCAAGGCTGTTTTTGTTACACTGGATACAGAACCCAACACTGGCATGGATTTGGACTCTGAGGTGGCTAATATCCCGGTTGGACCTTAAAACCAAACACATACCTCAAGTTTAATAATTCTGTGCAATGCTTATTAATATGGCACTGAAAAACAGATTAGCCGAAAATCCCTCAGGAAACGAGAGGCCAAGTTTTGTTTAAAATTTCGAGAGCATGCCGCAAAATGTTCCTATGAGGAATTTGCTCTGCTTTCGTGGTACTACTGCTTTTCAGGGCACCAGGACCACGCTGAGAAATTATGTCCAGGCCTTTAAGAAAGCACAAAACCCCAGGCCAGGGTTCCCTCACTGACCAGAGTCCTTATTAATACCGGAATTGTGAAAACTCTTTTCTTCTCAGAGCATGGCTTTCTGACAGCCCTACTTGAACCATTTGGCCTCTCAAGAGTTAATTCTTCCCCAAACTCAGCTCTGCGTTTCAAACAGCAAATGGAACAATGTCAAAGGCTCTTTTTAAAAGGCTCATGGAGGCTTCTTAAGCACTAAACGGCTTTTATGAACATTTTTCATTTTAATGTGATTGAGAAGTAAGTGGATTTATTTCCTGTTAAAATACAGACACAGGATTCTAAAAATTAGGTGGCAAAGAGGTTGGCTGTTTACCTCTCGGATTCTTCTGCTCTTTGGGACAGGATTAAATGACTACAACAGTGCTTGTTCCTGAAATTATTGGCGTACCAATCCAAAACTCCCGGGCACCAGAGCAAAGTTCTCTCATTATCTGTTTTCTACTCTCAGTTAGAAAGATACTATCCTAGCCAGCTTTTTTCAAAGCAAGATTCTAATATGTCTTTCTTGAAACCTCAGAAGAAATCTTTGTAAGACAAGAAGATTTATGTAATAAGTCATAAATGTACACATAAAATTAGAACTTCTAAAAATTAAGCTAGAGGACAACCTGCAAGGTGTCACTGAAAAGAGGGCAAAACTTGGGAGGGGTCTCATCTTCCCGAAGCCATGTCGGATCATCTCCTAAAAGGGTAAGTGCTAGCAGGGACCATCCAAAACGCTAGCTGGTTTCTGGTCATTAATATTAGGCTCCGGAATTTCATGCTCACATTTACATACGAATGAGTCTCAGGTATTCCAACAGTATAACCCATCAACTCCAAAAATGAAGTTCTGATTTGAAAAAAACCCCTAAAGAGTGGCTGCGAGACTGTTCCACCATCCCGTTGCTGTACCTCTGATGGCCTCGCTCCTTGTGGGAGACATAGACCCCCTCTGGTCTAAGGGAAAGCCTCAGTTCCCAAAGCACTGGGTGTCTGTCTTCCTCATTTATTTCCACGCTACCATCTGGGCAGACAAGCTTGTGACGTCACCAAATATCCTGATTCAAGCTGTGACAAGCCTCCAGGTGCATGGGGATGTGCAAGTGAAGACCGAAGAGTGGGAAGATCAAGAAAGATCCCCAAAATAAAAATACGAAGGTGAATTCGAGATTGGCTTCTGAGCCGCTCTGTTCTGCCCTTGGGTAGTTGCTGACTACAACGCTAGACAGCTTTAAACAATCCGTCCTCGTAGGAAAGCAAGATCTGCTTCTGAATACCCCGATGCCTGCTGCTGCTTCTGCAAGTGAAGCCAGCCACAAACGATGGAGCGTGGGTGAGCTGGGCCACAGCTCCTGTTTTTTCTTACATATGGAAAAGAAATAAAGAAAAATACAGAATGTTTAACATTATTATTATGGCATCCTGCTTAAGCTGCCCAATGTTTTCCAAGAGGCACTTGCTGCCCTTTGAAATGTCAGCTTGGCAGGCCACGAGTCTTCAAAGTATCAGTTCGGTCTGATAAAAGAAACTCTAAAGAAAAAGGGGCGTCACTGGTCCCTGAGGGAGAGCCCAACTATCCTGGGGTCTGAGGTCTGCAAAGCTCTGGCCGCCCCTGCCGCTCCCATGATGCTTCCTCTCTCCACTCTGGGACCTCACATTAGCTTTCCCATAAGCCTTTGTGTACAGAAGGAAAGCTTCTCAAAAGATTCACACGTACCTGAAGCCACAAACCTATCAAATTCATCTCTGGAATGTGCTCCCACCATGCAGCACGCAGCAAACAGCTGTGCTAAGTTTAGCTTCTCGTTCCGTCTCTACAATCCCCTCCCGGATTTTCACTTTGTCATTCCACGACCCTTATACAGAGATGTATTTGGTAAATACCTCTTCCAATTTGATGCTAGAAAAACATCGGCACCATTTAAAAAAGAAAAAGGATGAGTTCTTTTCTAGATGATAGAGTTTGGAGGTTTGTTTCCTCTTCCCACTGGCGCTTTTGTTTTTCCTTTGGCTACTAGGGAGCTCAAAAGAAAATTTCTGCTCATTTACAAGTCTCTCTCCTCGATAGGATTCCTCTCCACTCTGCCAATTACAGAGTTCTTGTTTTTCTATCCAAATACTGATGATTCCATTGACCATATGCCTTATTACAACATTCCTCAAATGATACATTGAATATTTATATATTCATGGAATAAAATAAGTAAAATGAAAGATTCTCACATGCCTATACAATGTGTTCCTACCTTTCTTTGTCCAGTCTTTGAAATATTCAAATTCCCATAGTGACTAAAGTGAAAATGTTTGTCTCTCCCATTGAAAACTAACTTTGAAATAGTGCTGCACATTTGACTAAGTTCGTGAGTGAAGTAGGAATGCTTCCATGGGAACAAAATACAAAATGTAAATGACTGAAAACAAAAATCGGATCCACAAAGTCCTAAAAAATCATGATGGCTATTTGGAATACTTCAAGGATGAAATGTCAGAAGTGATTGTCAGAAAAATGAATAACGATTCATGGTGGAGGCTGGTAAATGCTTATAAAGCAATTCTAAGAAAAAAAAATCTCTTACAGCATCCTTTAATTTTCCTGAGAGGGGGTTGTTCTGGCGGTGGGGGGGGGGGAGCAGGGAGAGAATTCTTGCAGGATATTAACAGCAGAATTTCCAGACCAAACTAAAAACTGAACGGCTGAATTTTTTTTTTAAGAGGAAAACAGATCTAATCTTTTTATAAGAAAGGTTTGGCTGGTATTTTATGCTGCTTCCAGTTCAAGGAACAAATTTACTAAATTGTTTGAGTAAAATCCCTACGTGGAAACTAGACCTTGATTATCAAAAACCCCAATCCTTCCTGTTCTAGCAACTTAAACTTGGTGGACATGACTCAGTGCAGATTTAAACTGTCACAATGGACCAAATAGAGTTGGCTGAATGGAGTCTAAAAGGTTCAGCCCATTAGCCACGGTGGCTGGTTAATGCTACTTTGGGGTAGTTTTTCAAAGCCAGCCTCCTGGCCACAAGGGAAAAACCTCATACAGGTTTCTGCTAATTCCCGTGACCAAGCTGATGGAAAAAACCGGAAGACACACACAGTTAGCCTTGAGGTCTCGCACGTGCATACCGTGACGCAAACGCAGCCTGTGAGCTCCAGGCTCGCTCAGATGGTCGTTTCTAGTTGGTGACAGAGCCGAAATGCGTCGTCCACCCGGTTCGCGAGCAGAGACAGCAAACAGAACGGATCTGAAGGCTAAAAATGATGCTTGTGCATTTGTAACTGATGCGTCGTGACTACCCTTATTACTGACTATCCTGCGCTGTCTCTGGGCCCCGCGAGCTACTCGGCACTCCTCGTGTACTGACTGACGAACTTGATGCTTAGAATAACACGATGGGGTGGCGCTTTTATTACCCTCATTTCACAGATGAGGAAACTGAGGCACAGAGAAGTTGAGCAATTTACAGGCCAGCCGCTCGCCAACAGCAGAGCGAGGACTCCTTCCCGCTACACTGTTGCCAAAGCCCATCCTTAATATCTTCATACCGGGGTATCTTGCGTGAAGCAAGCCCGATCTCTAAAACCCTGATTACCTACAAACAGACAATGTACACACACACCAAAAAGCGAAAACACGCCAGTTCTTATGGGATATCCATAAGTACCTTTGCCCATCCGATACTTCTCACTCACATTAAAAACAAATTTAATAATTATAAAAAGAACATTTCATGTTACAAAGAGGCTTAAAGGAGAATGTTTCCGAGAGGAAGGGTAGAGCTGCGGAGAATTCAAACCAGCTTACTACTGCTATCTGCTTCTGCTGTCACCTTTCTGCGACGCAAAATCCTCTCTAACTCAGTCTCACTGTTTTCAGTGGCAAGGGATTTTAAGCTTCTTGAACTAGTGGATTTGTTAAGTGTCCCCTAAAGTGAAAAAACAAAAACAAAAACAAAAACAAAAAGGTTAATGGCTTCATAACAATATACAGAAGAATACAAAAATCAAACCAGCAAAACATTACCAGAAATTGAATGGAATTAGGAAACGGAATGAATTTGTTGTATACACGTATATTCTTTTTCTCGTGTGTGTATCTTCAATGACACACGGTGTTGGATCGTTTAAGAAGATGCTACTGAGGATGTAAGATGTCAGCTTTCACATCAAAAGAACAGGACGAGATGGGCTAACTAGGAACTCGGCGGGGGGAGGTGCCCGCACATCGATGAGTAAGAGGCGGGTATGTGTTGATCCATCGTGTGGAGACAGAAGCACATATTGAACTCACCTGAGAGGGTTTTCTTGATACAGCAGCCACGAGCTACTGAACCCGAATCCTTGCGGCCCTGAAAAAGTGTGGCTGAGTCTTCAGAATGACCCTGGCTCCACAAGTGGTGGCAATGGTGTCGTGGCTGCCAGAGGAGGCACGTGGTGCTCTCCCGTGGCCTAGAGCCAAAGAAGCACTGCCCTGAGACACCTTGACTTCGTCGTGAAAGAGGAGAGGTTATAATGACACAGGGAAGCAAGGAAGGGCCGGCATCGCCATCCCACATTCCTAACAGAGGAGGCAGCGAAGGGTCACTCAGGGCCCAGAAGACGCCGAAGGAGACAAGAGATGCCGCGAAGCTGTGTGCCTGCTGAAATTGGTTCTGACTTCCAAGGCAGCAGAGAAAGACCCAGGAGGTGGTTCCCTGCCCCGGCTCCTCTGGGAAGCGTGTTACGGAGGGAGGACTATGGCTTTCTGTGTCCCGTTCCCAGTCACGTGTTTGCACAGAGCACTGGGTGACATAATTCACACCTCGTGTGTCAGGATTCAGCACTGCACCCTTACCGGGGGCCCGTTTCCTTTCGTAAGAAACGCCCTTCCTTAGCTGGGCCATGTGCTTGGCAGGAAAAAAAAGCCAGGAGGATCCACAATCTTTGTATCGGAACAGATCAGAACCTCAGCTCTGGCATAGCTCGCCAGGGCCGGTGGCAGCTTTTGCCCACCAAGGCCACCAATGGGGCTGGCCTTTGTCACCTCAGCCTTCATTCTGCTCCTGCCCCCTTCCAACTTCCTGAAGGATTCTAAGAATTCTACTGGCTAAAAACGGTTAACTCATGTTTCTTCTTTGGCCTATAAAACAAAAAAAGTAGCTTGTAAAATTAGGTAGGTACAAATCTCACATGATACAGGTTATTATGTTTTGTTTAGAAAGGTTTCTCCCCTAACTGGGTAAAGGCATTGAAAAGCAGCCTGATGGGGCCGGGGTGGGGAGTGACTTACAAGATGAGGAGATGTTACTCTTTCGCTATCAGCTGCCCAGCTAAGAGTAATGTGTAAAATACACATGTAAAATAAGGCTTACATTGTAATCAAGCATATGACACCTCCCCCCTCCCCAAGAAGTATCTGCTTTTCCTCTATTGCAAAAATTCACCTAGAAATATACTCAAAGGAAAATCATGTTACATGGAACCCTGTAATAGCTTATTTTATAATTTAAAAAATTAGATGATGTGGTTTGTTTATTTCACAGTTAACAATGCAGAACCGCACCTACTCACGGAAGAGTTAAATAGTAAAATAGGATCAATACCGACAAGGTAAAGAAAATAGAACAAAAGGCAACTAAGATAAATTTGAAAAAAAAAAAAATTAGAAAAACTATTCCCAAATCATGCATTTACAAGTTTTAAAAACTTACCAGCTGTACATTTGTAAATAGATTATTTGAAAAATATAGGGCCATTAGTACTAAAATAACTCATGAAACTGTTACATCGTTTGAATGTCAAGAACAGTCTTTAATTTTCCCAGAGGCTGGAGTTAATTCAAGAAAAAGATATGTGTTGGGGCACCTGGGTGGCTCAGTTGGTTAAGCATCGGACTTCAGCCCAGGTCATGATCTCACAGTCCGTGAGTTCGAGCCCCACATCGGGCTCTGTGCCGACAGCTTGGAGCCTAGAGCCTGCTTCAGATTCTGTGTCTCCCTCTCTCTCTGCCCCTCCCCTGCTCATGCTGGCTCTGTCTCAAAAATAAATAAAAACATTAAAAAAAATTTAAAAAAAAAAGAAAAAGAAAAAGATATGTGACTGTGTACATATATGCACACATACACCTTGCAAGGATATCTTTTAAGGAAGAATTTCTCTCACAATATTCTCTCTTTTTTATTTGGATAACAGCATTAATCCCCCAAATTCTGTGGTGAGCTACCCTCTCATCACACCTGATACTGAAAGGTTCTGTTTTCCAAGTTCTAATCTTTGAATCTCAAAACTTTTTTCTCCATCCACTGACTGATGTGACTGACTCAGCTAGTATGGGAGTGAACTTGAAATATGCAGACACTTGGGGAGAAAAGAAAGATGTCTACATGATTCTCAACTGGAATGACCAAGGAGCTCAGCTAATAAAGTACCAAGATTGTCTAAATTATCTATTTATGTTATCATCATAAACTCTGAGAATCAGAAATTAACTTAGAAACCATATGGTACACAGAATTCCTTCCACTTTACAGAAAAGAGAATTCAAACTCAGTGAGCCTTGGGGTTTGGGCCAGGCCCCACAGTAAGTCAGTGATAGGGCTGGACTTGAACGCAGGTCTTCTGATTCCCAAGCCAGCGTTCAATCCTAGTCCCCATGTTGGTCAAACGTTCACGACACTGACTTATCTAAGTGTTCGTTGGCAAAATCAACTATCCAATAATTCCTGGGTATCCTGAAAAACTGAAAAGTGCCTGGGAAAAACCTGAAAGAGAATTTCTTAGAAGTTGTTTTTGTTTAGGGGCACCTGGGTGGCTCAGCTGGTTGAGTGTCCGACTCTTGATTTTGGCTCAGGTCATGATCTCACAGTTTGTGAGTTCAAGCCCCACGTTGGGCTCTGAGCTGGCAGTGCAGAGCTTGCTTGGGATTCTCTGTCTCCCTCTCTTTCTGCCCCTCCCCTGCTTGCTTTCTCTCTCTCAAAGGTCAACAAACATTAAAAAAGTTGTTTTTGTTTGATTTAGAGACAACTGAACTTGAAAGAGACTTTTAGATCAATCTGTATGGATTTATTCTTCAGACATCGCTGTGTCCACTGAGAGTGACATTCACATGACTGGGGTGACTTGACAGGCTTCCAAAACCTCCAAAAAACCTTGTGTGACTAGGAGAAGTAAACCATAGATTTTTCTTTTTAATCTACAACTTTTAAAAGTTCAGTGTCAACGGGCTTGGAGAAATAAGTTCAGTCCACACTGAGACTGTAGCAATTGACTTGGGAAGTGTCCACATGCAAACAGAGTGAGATTTTCCAAATGCCAAACCAGACATGTGTTTCCTACTCATGTGCTTTCAGCAAAAGGCCAAATCTCTTAAGGACATTTAAGGACATCTCTTATGATGTCCCTCCAACTCAGGTCACATCTGATTTCAGCAAAAACACCAGTTTATTCCCGGTTTCTGTTCTACAGAACTGAACATGGCGTTCCTTGGTTTCTTGGTCTCTCGTAACAGGTACTGGCTCTCACTGCAGTGCCAGTGGGCACGCTTTCCATGCTCTTTCCACGTTTGCTTCTCACGTGCCACAACCATGAGGCAGGGTCATGTGTGCTGCTGGGTCTGTGCTGCTGGGTACTCTGATAACCCCAATAGCCTACACACCAGCAAGAAGCACCAATAAAGCCCCACCTGAAGGGGGCTTGCTTTCTCTCTCTCTTACAAGAAGTTGTAAGCTTTCTCGGCCCCAAGTGACAAGGGGTTATAAATCCTCCGTCAAAGGGAACCTCCATGGGGGTAACTGGAGAGTTGCCATTTGGCAAAGAAGAGTAAGGGAGAAAAGTGAGTTCCACTTTTTAAAAACAATTAATGCAAAGAAACAGCATTGCCAGGGGGCACCTGGATGGCTCAGTCGGTTAAGCATCCCCAGACTTAAGCTCAGGTCATGATCTCACGGTCTGTGAGTTTGAGTCCCGCATTGGGCTCTGTGCTGACGGCTCAGAGCCTGGAGCCTGCTTCAGATTCTGTGTCTCCCTCTCTCTCTCTCTGCCCCTCCCCACTCATACTCTGTCTCTCTCTCTCTCTCTCTCAAAAATAAATAAACATTAAAAAAAAGAAAAAAAGAAAGAAAGAACACGCCAGAATTAACAGCTATTAGTGGCACATTAACGCCAGATCCAGTAGAGAAATCTAATAATCCATCCAGAGCATGAAGGATGGGGGTAATTTGCAGAAAAGAAAGAGGTTTTGACAATTTTTATAATTTGTAAATTATTTCCCAAAAACCTATTCTGCAAACTTCTCTCCTTGAAGTGGCACAAAATGTATAGTGAACATGATCTTTAAGAGTGACGCTATAATTCAGTAAACTTGCTACTATCTAGCATTATCAGGAGTGGGATATCTTAGCTCATCAAATATCATCTGTATCTTAGACAGATGTCTGATGTTTTCAAATAAACCTGATTTTTAAATAGTCAACCTCAGTGTAGTTTACTCTTTCACTGATGGTCAGAACTCTATTATAGGGCATCTTCATGAACAGGAATTAGCATTCTAATGCAGAGACAACAAAAGGGCCTAGCGTAGGGAGTTCTCGCTGGATGACAAGATTTTCTCAATAAAGAATCCGTTGGATAATAACCACGCTACTTTTTCAATGGGTTTAACACTTCATTCCGTAGGTGGAACACCACTGTGAGGGAGGCTATACCTCTCTTCAGTACTAACGCCACTCACCTAAAAGTAAAGCAGACTAATTAAGCCATTCTGAGTTAAGTCTGCTGTTTCACACTTGATGAAAATAATTTTGTTTACCACAATTATGTGGATGTCTCCATGCAATGCGTAATTAGCACAGTAACAACACACACGGGAATATTAGTTCTGTACCCCCGCCCCCACGTTTGTTGACTTACTGTGCATAATAACTGGGATTGAGACTGTAACAGGATCTGAGAATAGACCCCTTAGTATCTGGTAACATTTTCGGAGTGAGGCGTTCCTCTCTGACAGCAAGTGCCCGACAGGGCAGCGCTCTTGTGCTCTGCTGGCAAAAGCTCATATGCTTTGGAAAGAAGAAACTGGCTGGAGAGGGGCATTAGGCCTGTTCTCCAACGGACGGGAGATGCTTGTAGAAAATGAAGTTGGTAGCATAAAGAAAGGGACGTTTATTCTATTCTCCAATTTATCACCAGATAATTTTTTAAACTGTGAGGAAAAGCAGACTGCGACCCTGATCGTAGCATATGTGGATATTTGGGTAGGAGCTCAGATTTACATTTTGGCACCAAAGGTTCCACATTCAGGCCCTCAAATCAAGCACTATCCACGCAAGAGTCTCTACTGTGTTTCCATTATGACCCAGCATGCCCTGGTCCTTAGATCTGGTCACTTCATCTTGAAGCTGTCAAGCAAGGACTGGAGGGCAAGAACAGGAAATAATGATTCTGGTGCAAGTGCAACCATTCTTCTAGAACAGGAACAGCAGAGTAGTGACACATAACAAACATTAACATGCCCGATGGAGGCGTCCACAGAGCAATCAAGCGAGCTATCAAAAAGAACTGAGGGTTATGGCAAATGAAAATGAAATGCATCACAACCAATTATTCAGAGAAATAGATTACAAAAATATTCTCCTTTCATTGTCCCATGAACTAAAAATAATAAAACCAAAGGTCTATTCTTACCAGTATTCCTTTTAGCTCATTCACTGCACTCTCAGAGCCTTTTGAAGATTCTGGCTACAATTTTAAAAAGAAAGCACAATTAGTAATTCAGTTTTAAAAGTCTAAACCGAGATTTTTACGGGGCAAAGTGTTGGCAACCTATATGGACTACTGGGGTTTTTTTGTTGTTTTTTTTTTAAGTGAGGTCTATGTCTTACGGTTAGGAAAAAAGATTAGACATGTTAGTGTTCCCAAGTGGCAGTTAAACAGACAGTTAGGAGAAACAGTCAAGGCATAAGGACTCGAGCTAGCATCTTCTAAATGCCATTTTGTTACTTCCTGTCGTCACCACACAGAGAAAAGATTTCGATTCCAAAGATTCAATTTCAAAGCATTCAGAACTTTTTACACGGAACTGTTCTCCACTCGCGTCGCCGGGCCTCTAACAGCGAGCGACGACCAGGAAGGCAGCAGCACAGAGCAGGAAGCAAGCGACAGGGCAGAAACCTCTCTCAGCTCCGACAGCTCCAGGCAGAGGCCGCGGGGCCTGCTGCGGGGATCTCAGGACGGAGCCAGGGGCAGGGGTCGGCCAAGAACCGGGCTTCACGGGAGAACATTAGCATCACCGGCTACCGAAGCGGTTAGAAAGCTCAGAGGGCTTCTCTTCTGGCCACACTGTGAACACAGCGATTTGAAATGCAGTTCTGGGTAATGTCTGCCCGCCCCTCACTCCCTCACAGTCTCCGTGGATCCCTCCACTAATTCACCGGAGGGAAAATCTAGCACGAGGTTTTCAAACAAAGACCCGTGATCTCCTCCCCTGTCCCACTTCCTTCCACAGGGGACGGAGATGAAGAGAAAGCCTGCGGGGGACTCCCTGGCCTCTGGTTCCTGGAAAAGAGGCAAAGCTAATTTCTCTCGCATCAAGAAATGGGAAGTGATTAACAGCGACCTATAACCCTTTCCTCTCAAAAGTTATTGAAAGAATAAGATCCTGTTCCAATTTTTTTAAAGTGGACAGTGAGAGGGAAAGAGGGAATGGGAGGGAGAGGTAGAAAGGGGAGGGTGGGGGGGAGAAGGGAGGGAGAGAGAGGTTTGCTGCTCATGTACAGATTAGACCAAGACATTCAACTTTCGCAGCCTGCGCTTTCTGGGAAATACGCATGCCACCAGCGCCAGTCCTAAGTGCCAGTCAAAAGCTCTAAGACACTAATTATAACCACAACGGTATCAACAACAAACGTCAAGGAATTTAGAAAAGATGCAGTTAAATTAGTATTCTTAAGGCAGGCTTGACTTCTGCAGGTAAACTGTTCGGGTGATTACGGCTGAACAAGCGCCCGGGGCTATGTGCCACTCGGGCGCCCTGGGCGAAGGCAGGAGCCTGGGCGAGCCTGGCCGGCAAGCACTCTCATAGCTCGTGACCTTGCAGGAAAGCACCGAGGCCCTGGGGGTGGGGGTGGGGGTGGGGGTGTCTGGAGGCGCATGCAGTGGCTTATTTCCAGGGTTACTGACCAGGTCATTCAGCACTACATCTACGTGATTTAAGGATTACCGGCGGAAAACCCAGTCGTCCACTGATCCTTGAGCAGTTGTTCTCCAGTTTGAACTGACATTAACTAATGTGTAACTGTTGGAAGAGGCAGGGCAGGAAAGAAGAAGGACAAAGTGATACTCTGAGAATGAAGGGACATCCGCAACAGCGACGGCTTAGGACTTAACACGTTCTCGACGTTTTTCTCTCTAAACTAATTTTGTTTCTTTAGGATGCCGTGTTTTCCTCTAGTCCGTTTGGTTTAGCTTATTCTTTTCAAGACAGTTGTGACTTGAAAGTCTTAAATAGGACTTCGTTTCAAAGATTCCACTTAGAGCCCCCATTTTCAAGTGGTTCCACGCTTCAGTCCGTGTGAGCCCGACAACAGTCCCGTGGGTCGGAGAGGGCCGGGGCTCTGCCCGTTCCGGGGAGAGTTGGGCCTGGGAAGCAGGGGAGCGGGCCCGGCCCCACCTCCAGCAACAGGACGCTCCACACACCAGACACCAGCGCTCAACACTCGTGCCAGACTGTCTACACCCTATCCCTTACCTGGAGAACTGCTCCCAGAGCACGGCACAGACCGGCACTCCACGCTTCCATTTCACTGGACGGGAATCTACTCTCCCAGTGGGGTATTTTGCCCTCTTTCCATCCCCCTTTCTGTGGACAGCCCGGGGCACGACAACTCCCGCCTTGCCTGGCTACCTCGCCTGCCTGTGACCAAGTGGCAACTACTAAGGCCAGCAGAATTTGCACCCAACAGTCGTGCTCCTTGGGGACACTGAAGCAGGTGAACGGGGGCATCCGTGAGAGTCAGAAAGAGCCTTAAAGTTTGGTTTAAAAGAAGAAGAAGAAAGAGGACCAACCTGATGATGCTTTTTTACAGGAAGGAAACGAAAAAACATTTCTCAAGACAAACACCAAAAACTCTGTTCTTAGGTCTGTTTAAATGGGACACACCTACAAAGAGACAGAGGCACTGAACTAGATTCTAGGTGCTTCCATAGACCTTGGCGCTCACTGTGGTCTAGTTTGGAAGATGGCTGGTGATAGATACACACAAAATTTTTTCCTCAAACTGTCCTGGAACAGGTTTGTAAAATTAGTAAAAACAATCCGATGAACCTCACCGTTTTTCAGAAGTCGGCTTAGGTCTGTTCTGACATCATCATGTGAGGCCACCTGCCCACCCAGCCCTCCTCTACTTCACACTCAAACAGAAGCCTCAGGAAGGCAAGGATTTTTGTCTCCTTTGTTTACTGCTTTATCTCCAGTGCCTAACCAGTACCTGGCACAGAGCAGATACTCAATAAATACTTGTTGAATTACACAAAAGAACCAGGAATTAAAGAAAAGAAAGGGTGTAATAATTATTTGTTTGGCATAACCGTTCAGATCAAGCAGAGGAGGGCACCCTGCTTAAGTAATCTCTACAACCAGTGTGGAGCTCGAACTCACAACCCTGAGATCAACAGTCACTTGCTCTACTGACTGAGCCAGCCAGGTGCCCCCACTTTCTCTCTACAGGGATTTAGGTCAACGGTGGCTCAGAGTTCTCCTGAAATGTGTTTGTAGAAAAGTAAAGGCTTTTACGACACATCAGTCTCATCCTAAGATTTCACAGTCAGTCCTGATGCAGCTTTCATCAAACTTGGAACTTGTACACTTGCGAAAGGGAACATCACGGGAGGGGAAGAATTAGTCATTCTGTACCTTTGCCTTCGGTCTAGCTGTCTGATTCACTGGCCTAAGATGAACTCCCTTTTTAATTCTATCCATCATCTCTTCGACGGCTTGCCTCTTCAGATCCGTGACTTCTTCGGCTGTCAAAAAACACACATGTAAATCATCTTATGTTACAGGAAAACAGCTACTTGCTATTTTTGGTGACTTAGGAAACCTGCACGTTGTAATTAACCACAGTGTTTTTTCAGACCAAATCACAAAACATCGCATAACAATTTACAGAGGTTAGCAGCTACCAGGTAGCCACACTTTTTTTTTTAATTAAAAAAAAAATCCTATAATAAAAGATCTGTTTTTTAAAAATACAGTTCTAAAATCTAAGGTCTAATTTGTAGCCTGGAAGTCAATATTGGCTCATCTCTGTTAAATAAGTGAACAGAATTTGGTTCCATTTGTCAGCATAATGATAGACTTACATTTCTCCAGCTTTGTACCCCAAATAATCATTCATCTTTGCCTCCGTGATGTTTTTAGAACTTATAACATCCTATGTCAAAGGAATCAGCCCAAAGAAGGAATAACTATCAAAAAGCCCATTTGAAAATAAAAGATAAAAGAGATCTGTTAACTTGCCACAGTCAGAAGATGAATAGCAAATAGGTGAAATCTATTTTTAAATTGCCATCTTTTATTTAGGAATCACAACGGAAGGAAACATTCACACAACCCTTTTTCGAGTCTTTTAAAACTGTCAATGTTAAAAGAAAACACACACCCAGAAATGATTGCAATTAAGTAATTAAATTTGATTTAAAAAATTTCAACTGTCTATTGTCTAACCTTTGCACGATTTTGCTACAAAAACAATGAAGCTGCTGAAATATGCATCAATTAGATGAATATAGCTGAGGTGGGCTTAACGCTATTGATTAGAATAATGAAATCTGTCTCTTGCACAACAGCTTGACCAAAGAAGGCACTGAATCACGTTTGGAACATTTATCACCATTAATGCCATTCTAGATCTTGTGTTTACACCCGCCTCATTCACTGCAACCGATATATTTAAGTTTAAATACCTCATAAAGGCCTTCCACTTGGGCTCTCTGGAACACTCCACAGTGTGGGGCATATGGTAGGCACTCAGCAGGTATCTACCTGCTGAATGACTTATTCAAGTTTTGGCTTTACATGGCTATTAATATTTTTGCTATTTGAGCAGGAATAACCAAATCCCAAAGGACGACTTGTAAATGGAGGCCATCATAACAATGACCCCAAGCCAATGGACAGGAGTGTTGGGCTTTGCACTAATGAGGCCTACGTTATGGCTTCTTTTTCTGCCACGTGGCCTTCACGCTAACACAGAGTAGCTATTCCTCGTACGTCGTGCCTAGGGGAGCAACTAGATGAGTCCAGAAGGTTTTACCATCCTCACCTCAGCAGCACCTCAGTGACAGGATCACTGCTCTATTCATTAAACAACCTAGGTCTTCTGGTACAGTCCTGACTTCAGACAGGGTCCTGTCATCTCCACAGGCCACTGAAAATGCTGGGAATGAAAAGTTCTCAATACCCAAATAGCATTTTTCAGATCCAGATGGCAAGGAAGCACCCTTCACCAGGCAACATGGGAAACATGGCAACAAAGTCAATAAATGAAAGAAGGCAAGACTGTGGGTTGATCAACTGTATGCCTTTAAGTAGCATTTTCTCGGGCAACTTCTGCTGACGGCTCCCCAATCAACAAGGGGACAGATAAGAATATCACTCGGGATAGAGATTTACTCCTTCACTCATTCATTCACTCACTCACTCATTCGGTATCTGAATACCCATTATGCACCACGCGGTGCTTTGGCTGACCCTATTCAAAGTCAGGGGAGACACAAACCCAGCTCTGCCATTCGAGCACCTGGTATGGGTATGGAAGTTATTCCTTGGAATTTTTTTTTTAATCCTAAAAAAAAACATTTGATTTTCAGAAAGCCTGCCATTTGGAGTGAGCCTTAAGAAGAGCTGCATGGCAACAGGAACACTGCCGACAAACAGATTAGCACTCTGTAAGGAATGACTGAAACCCAATTAAATGCACCATACAAAAACTAATTAAGGCAGACAGATGGAGAATTATGGTCAACACCATTCAAATCTGCTGCAGCATCTAACATAACAGGAATTTAAAGTAGTTTCTTATTTTTGCTTGCCAGAATCATAGTGATAATTCAGAGAAGGACCACTATCTGTATTGTGTACAGATTATAAACCGGGCTTTAATTTCTTAGTCTTTTTCAAAGGTAAAGGCTTAATTGGTCTTAAGAAAAAGAAATCACTCTTATCAGATCCCCTACTCGGGCACAATACAAGGGCAACGCTAGGTTAGCTACACAAGCTTTCTCTCTCACCGACCCTGTTTTTGAACTAGCAAAAAGCAATCTATACGAACTTCTCAACTATTAAGCAGTTCTAATAAATCTGCAAGAATCACCTACAGAGAGCTCATGGCATGTTTTGTAATTCTTTCTGCGATCCCGCAGTTGGTAATTGTCTCACAAAAGCATGTAATCAGAAGGACAATAGAAATATGCAGGATGCTGGAGATTAAAGAAAAGGGACCAATGAAGACAACAGGTCTAATGTCACCGAACTGCCACAGGAAAATCAAATCAAATGTTCTTTGAGTTAGTGCTTCAAGGTCAGTCTTGGATCAGAAAGCTACATGTAATTAATTGAGGCTTAAAGTTTAAGACCCACTTGAAAAATAAGTTCGTTCCTCAAAGAAAAGACCCACAGACAAAACCATCACCTTGTTGCTCAATAAAACCTTTTGTTATTACCTACAAGAAAGGAAAATGATTTTTTTTAAATTCCACAGGATTACTTTTCTCTTTCACTAACATTTTCTAAAAGGCATTTAAAAACAATCTTATGCCACCACAATGGACAAAATTTCTAAACAACGCATCATGGTTGAATGAGTTTGAGTGTGACGTAAGATCATAACGTTAAGGATATTCCCTTAGCTACAGTGATTACAAGAGCCTCCCGAATGAGGACTAGTACCCCTCAAAGAGTAGCTGGAACCTTGTCCTTTTTTTTGTTTTTGTTTTTTTAAGCTAACATTTTGAGTACTTTCTATACGCTCGGTACTACTCTAAACAGTTTATTTACATGTTAGGAGACTCGTTAATTCTCACAAGCACCCTATGAAATAGGAACTACGATTTTCTCCATTCAGTAGGTTAGCAAACTGAGGTAAGACAATACCAACATATTAATGACCTACATATATGACAAAACAGCAAGCATACCTCTGAAATCTCAGAACTTGTTCAATAAATGCATTCTTATCAAAATTAGAGTTATTAACTTCAAAGTTTGTTATTTCTTATATTTGACCTAAAAACTACTTCTAGAATATTCCACAGACCTTCCCCTACAATCAAGCTTTTTTTTTTTTTTAACGTTTATTTATTTTTGAGACAGAGAGAGACAGAGCATGAATGGGGGAAGGTCAGAGAGAGGGAGACACAAAATCTGAAACAGGCTCCAGGCTCTGAGCTGTCAGCACAGAGCCTGATGCGGGGCTCGAACTCATGGACCGCAAGATCATGACCTGAGCCGAAGTCAGCCGCTTAACCGACTGAGCCACCCAGGCACCCCTACAATCAAGCTTTTTAAGAGCCATTGGTAATAATAGTTTCTTCATTCATCAGCTCTGAGAAGCATATCAAGTAGCTAGTGAAAGCCACCATAAGATGCTAACAAAAGATAATACTGTTAGTAAGACTGGTCTCTACTTATAAATGCAAACTCCAAGGTGTTACAGACGACCCCAATGTCTGATGCTCTGTACTTACTCATCATGCATTTAATCACTGTTGATTTATTCATTTAACAACTAGCTTTTAGTTTGAACTACTAACAAGTCACTATAAATAAATACCTTGCCAGACAGAGAGAAGCTCCAACCACATATGGCTGTGGTCCATATCACTTAAGGCAGTATAGTTTTAGGGTGGCTTCAGTTTAAAATCTCATGAGCGACTTCTGGATCAGGAACGTGATATCCCAGGTAATAATCCAATAGCTCAAGAATGAGGGAGAGACTACTGCCCCATTTCATGAATTGTAAATGAAGTATCACTTTCATTTCAAGGAAAACTGTATGGTTTCTGAGACTGGGGGTTAAGAAGCTCAGAACTTTTTTTTGTTTTGTTTTAACTTTAAGGGTGCTGTGGGGGTTGACAAGCTAATAATGTAATTTACTTAGACGGGGAAATCATTTTATGCTGACTGCCCTGCCAACCCTCTAAGACTTACCAACTGTCCCAAAACAAGATTGAAACACAGCTTTCATTTGTAATGGTGCTGCGAGGTTCCGGCTAGGAAAGATAGGGTCGGGTCTAAACCTGGATTCATCGAAGATGCATATAAGGGGCGCCTGGGTGGCGCAGTTGGTTAAGCGTCCGACTTCAGCCAGGTCACGATCTCGCGGTCTGTGAGTTCGAGCCCCGCGTCGGGCTCTGGGCTGATGGCTCAGAGCCTGGAGCCTGTTTCCGATTCTGTGTCTCCCTCTCTCTCTGCCCCTCCCCCGTTCATGCTCTGTCTCTCTCTGTCCCAAAATAAATAAATAAACGTTGAAGATGCATATAAGCTGTGGGAGACCTGCAGACAGGAGTAAGCCCTCAAAGAGCTTGCAATCTCTTCAGGAGGAGAGATGTAGAAATAACGCAAACACCACAGCGGAGGCTGGGGGATGGGACATTACAAAATCCGAAGCAAAAAGCTATAGCAACACAGAGCAATGAGCCAACACTCATAAATAAGGGTGGCTCAGTCGGTTAAGCGGCCACTTCAGCTGAGGTTACAATCTCACAGTTCAGGGATTTGAGCCCCACATAGGGCTGTGTGCTGACAGCTCAGAGCCTGGAGCCTGCTTCAGATTCTGTGTCTCCCTCTCTCTCTGCCCCTCCCCCACTCACGCTCTGTCTCTCTCTCTCTCAGAACTAAATAAACATTAAAAAAAAAATAAGTGGCAGTGGAGGAAGAGCCTGGAACCTGCACAGGAGAGGCAGAATTAGAACCCCTTGCCAGAGAAAGCTCTGAGTAGACTAAAGGCAGCAGGCAATGCTGGAATGAGGAAAGACAGAGCAAGCGCACAGGAGGCCTCGAGGTAATGGTCCAGTCATAAGGAGGAGCAGATGTAGACAAATGAGGCTGAGGTAACAGCAGAGAACCATCGATAAGCAGCCTACAGGGTCTGGACTCTATTCTGATGCAGTGAGACGCGTAGCACTGTCACAGAACGTGGGACAACGGATCTGAGAATGTCACCGTGCCAGTGGCAGGAAAGCGGCTGGCCTGGATCAATGAGCCTGGGGGATAGGAAAAGGGGGCCAAGGAGTCTGTACCAGCCTGGGCTCGAACCCGGCAAATCCACCACGCTTTGCAACTAACAGCTGCCGAGCAAACGTGCTGAGCTTCGTGTGGGTTCTACCGGTCTCCGCTGCTCTCCGTGTGGCTGCGCACCCCTGCCCGCAGCCCTGTGAGCCGATGACTCTACTCCTGGCCGCCCAGTGCCTCTGCTCGATGGGCAAGCTCTTCTTCCCCCACTCCCGTCTCTTCATGTGATCTTCCACTTCTCCCTCTCCAGTGAGCCAGAGTCCTGGGAATCGCACCTCTCAGAGTCGCTCCTGGATTTGCCACTTCTTTGTGTCTCTACTGCAACCACCCTCCCCTCATCTGAGCCAGCCGGCATCTGAATGACGGACAGCCTCTCCTCATCCCCTCATTCCTCTGCGGTCTGCTCTCTGTCCTCTTGCTGCCGACAGCGGGATGGCTTTAACAAGACCCATCTCATCATGTCACACCCCTACTTAAAACTCCTACTGCCCTTAGGATACATTTTGAAACCTTGACCACAGCCTCCACGATCTGGCTCACAGCTCCTCTCTCGCACCCCATGTTCCAGAAATACCAACCTTTGTTCAGTTTCCTGATAGGCCAAGCTCCCTCCCCTCTTTGGACCTTGAATCTGTTGCCCCTCTACGTGAACTTTTATTCTAAATACCCTCACCCTGACTTGCTAAATCCAAACTGCCCAGCATAGGCATCGCTTCCTGAAACCGGCAGCCCGCCTCCATCCTTTCTTAGAAACCTCTGCTCTTCCTCCAAGTGATCACCCTTGTTTACTTCCTGTCTCCCCCACTCAATGTAACTTCTGTGTCTTCTGTCTCCAGTACACAGCACGGCACCAGTAGACAGCAGGTGCCTGATCAAGGTTCAGCTCACTTGCTATCAACTCTAAAAACCCCTCCCCAAACCCCTCACCTGGAATCACTCCCTCTCTTTCCTTAACACATCAGCCTGTACACTGCCCCATCCTGTAAAGACACATCCCAGCAGAATGCACGTTACAGGGACGTGATCTAGACAATGAGCTGCTTAAAGGCAGCGGCATCTTGTTCCTTCTTATCAGCTGTTAAGTTCACATTTCTCCCCAAACTGCTCACGGTCAAAGAACTCAAAAAGGACGTATGTTACCGAAAAACTGGGCTAAAACCACTGAAAGCAAACCAAACGGGGTGAGAATTACTTGTTTCTGGTTGAGCTGCTTTTTCTTTCTTAGCACTACTGCCGCTGGGATGGGATCGCTTCCGGATCATGGACATGAGGGATCTTTGGGAGAAAGAAGAAGAATAACAGGAGGTTACTGGGTGCTTGATGATCCAAGAAATAAAATGTACTGATTCAAAATAATCAGTAAAAATCCAATTCTTCTCAAGGTACGTAAATGCCAGAATTTAGGAGTCTATTTACCACTTTTAGTAAGTTATTAAACTTTTCATCACTTTAGGGAAGAGAAAGATGTCTCATCCCTTTCTGCATGAAACCATCTAATTATTCAAAGCAAATTAATGACTCAAAGAAGGGGGCCACTATAATCACCACTATGACGCAAAGTAAAACAAATACAGAAAACAGTGTCAATATCCATACCCCAAGTTCAGAAACAGCCACCTATGTAATACATTTGAGGGAAAGGGAAGGCTGAAAGAAATAGGGGATGCTCTCAGTAAATATCTATTTGTGAAATATGGGCATAAAAACCTCTGAATCTGAATGACACAGACCAGATACTTAAGGGATAAAATACATTTAGACCACAGTCTCTCTGGCCCATGTTTTTTTTTTTTTTTTTTTTTTTTTTTTTTTTTTTTTTAATTTTTTTTTTTCAACGTTTATTTATTTTTTGGGACAGAGAGAGACAGAGCATGAACGGGGGAGGGGCAGAGAGAGAGGGAGACACAGAATCGGAAACAGGCTCCAGGCTCCGAGCCATCAGCCCAGAGCCTGACGCGGGGCTCGAACTCACGGACCGCGAGATCGTGACCTGGCTGAAGTCGGACGCTTAACCGACTGCGCCACCCAGGCGCCCCTGGCCCATGTTTTTAACATCTGTACAAAATCCAAATCATGACAAATTTGACCACATTAAAATTTTAAGATCTCCATGTAATAAAAGACACCATAAAGAATAAAAAAGAAACTCTACAGATCAATGAGAAAAAGCAGGCAATCCTACAGAAGAAATCGACAGAAGCCTTGAAACTCCATAAATGAAGATGTCCTAACTTCCCAAACACATACAGAAAAAGTGCTTGACTCCATTAGTGACTAGGAAAACACAAATGAAACCCACACCGATTTAGTTACACCGTCATCAAATGGGCAAGAAACGCTAAGTCTGATAATATCAAGCGTCGGTAGGTTTGTGGAATAACAGGAATTCTCAAACTGAAGACAGTGTAGTAACTGACAATTCCACTTCGGAAAACTGGCATCATCCTGTGGAGCTGAAGATACACACGTTCTAGGAGCCAGCGCCTCCACTTCCGTGGATCTTACAGAAATGCAAGCCCTCGTACGCCAGGATGCACAGACGAGAACGTTCGTGCAGAATTTCCATAATTTCCTTGAACTGGTAATAACGCAAATGTCTATAAGCACCATAATGGATAAGCACACGGAGACATTCATAAAACGGATTATGTATCCATGAATATGGATGAAGTTCAGCTACACAAGATAACACGGATGAATCTTGCAAAATAACGTAGAGTAAAAAGAACGAGACTCAAATGCAGACAGAAAAATTCTAATCAGATAGTCAGGAAAAAAACCATATGTATATTTATAGGAGTTTAGGGATATATATGTAGGCAAGAAATTTTTTTTCTTTCAAAAAGGGATAAAAGGATAAGAGTCTAGGCCAGTATTTTTCTATTTCTTGATTTGGATGGTGAACACATGGGTGTTCGCTTTATATCACTTTTAAACTGTACATAAGTTGGTGCACACTTCCATATATGTTATCATTCCCCCTCAAAATAGTTTACCAAAAAAACCAAATGGACCGAGAATTCTTGAATTCCTTCAACTACATTATCGATGTCCTCTGTGTGATAAACTGGATTGGACACAATAGTCCTGAGGAGGCCAAGCTGGGAAGGCACAGTGTTGCCTCTAGGAAAAGGGATGCCTGGGCACACACAGCAATACTTGGCTGAGGACAGAACAACTCAGTGTTTCCTAATGACCGTAATTTTTCAGATGTTTCTATTTCTTACTTCTGCCTTTAGATTTATTATTAATCCTCAAACTGCCTTTTATGAAAACTCCCAAACACACTGAACAGTCTCTCGCGAAGCATAGTGAAAAGAAAGCACTACGTTCTGCTTTACCCTGTGAGGCTTTCAGAACTTACCTACCAACTGGAAAAAATCAGTCAGTGGACTTTTGACTTCATTTAGTTTGTCTTCTTTGGACTCACGGTGGCCCCAAATGGAATTAAATTATTTTCACAAGGAGTTAGAAATCCTTATTTACACAGAACTTTAAAACAAGCATATTTTATTCCAAAAGTTGGGAGAAATGAAATAATGCAAACTTTTTTTGCTCATTTTTCCCATTTTGTGACTGAGGGCAAGGGATATTCGATGTCTAAGGGTTAACATTCCACAGCAGAGGGGGGCTTGGAGAGGGTTGTCCCCAGGTGGGGGCCTCCCCTTACTCTCTCACAACACTCTGTAATGAACCCATTTCTGGTTCCGAAATTTTCAGTGTTGAATTATCGTACGTAAAGATTACAAAGCAGGAAGTTATTTGTACTGTTCGAAATCTGTGTGTATTTACATAAATGAAGTAAAGCACTTAAGTAGATGAGAGAAAGCATTAACTTTAACTATTCTGAATTGAAGTATAGTTGGGAGACTTATATGGTACCCAGAGAAGCATCATCCGTAATATTAAAAAAGAGCCCTCTGGGGGCGCCTGGGTGGCGCAGTCGGTTGAGCGTCCGACTTCAGCCAGGTCACCATCTCGCGGTCCGTGAGTTCGAGCCCCGTGTCAGGCTCTGGGCTGATGGCTCAGAGCCTGGAGCCTGTTTCCGATTCTGTGTCTCCCTCTCTCTCTGCCCCTCCCCCATTCATGCTCTGTCTCTCTCTGTCCCAAAAATAAATAAACGTTGAAAAAAAAAAAAACTTAAAAAAAAAAAAAAAAGAGCCCTCTGTCAAGACGGGGCTTAGGTTACAGATAAAGTAGGTCTTCCAGGCCAGATGAGAACACCAGGACAAGGCATTTGGGACCAATAATCCAAACCTCTGGCTAAAACTGCCCCATTTCACAGCCAGTTCAACTGAATGGATAAAAGCTTCAAGCAAGAGCTCCCAAACACTGAATGGTTCAGTAGAAGGCATTGACCTCTCATGCCCACTGTGATAGTTAATTTTGAGTCAGTCTGATTGGGTCATGAGGTATTCAGATATGGGGTCAAACATTATTCTGGGTGTTTCTGTGAGGGTTTTTGGATAAGACTAACATTTAGATTGGAAGCCTGAGTAAAGCAAACTACTGTCAGTAATGTGGGTGGGCATCAGTTGAAGGCCTCAATAGAACAAAAGGGTGACCACTGCCCAAGTAAGACAGAATTCCTTCTGCCCTCTGGCCTTGAAATTAGGATGTCTGCTTTTTCCTGCTTCCAGACTCAGACTGAAACACTGCCTCTTCCTAGGTCTGGAGGCTGACCGACCTTCAGACTGAAACCACAGCCTAGGCTCTCCTTGTTGGCTCTCTTTCCAACCCACCCCGGGACTTGTCATAGTCCATAATCATGTGAACCAATTCCTTGGAATAAATCTTTTATGTGAATGTATATGATGTATACACATACATGTACATAGGTATATACACACACCCCTACAGGTTCTGTTTCTCTGGAGAATGCCGACTAATACACCAATACACCCAACTCTTCCCCGTGAGCCATGCCTGCCCAGGACCTCTCCTGCGTTCACTACTGCCTATAAAACATGACCAACGTATGCCTTCTTCCTCACTTTCCTCTCTCCCACCTGTCCCCTGGGTCAAAGGAGCAGGCCCTAGTCTTTTTTTTTTCTGCTTTCATTTATATCCATGATCTATGTCGGGGTAAAACAAATGGCTGAGGAACAAAGTTAGAAAACCTTGATTTGTGGATTCAAAGTCCAATGAAACTCAATACACATGCAAATATATTTCTTTGACAAGAAAGTACTCCTTACCAAAAAAAAAACTTCTTTCTACTGAGAAATTACATCTTACACTACTTAAATTCATCTTATAATAAAAATCATTCATGTTATTCAATGAAAATTTTCTTTAAAGGGCCTTATAAAAAAGAGCTCACGCTTTAGACATACATAGTCTGAGTCCTACATTCATTTCTCAGTATAACTGTAAAGTGCTCTTTGGGAAAATACTCTATTTAGGTTACACTTTACTTTTAATTCCAAGGGCTTCAAGATTTGTTAGACTAAAAATTAAAGGCCAACGGCAAGACTATAATCACTTTCTTCACAATTCTCCCTCCTCGTAGACAGAAGTGACCTTTCTTATCGGCTCAAAATTCTACACCTTAGAGAAAGATCAAAGTGATGAATTTCCTATTTTAAATGTCAAATTCAGAATATCTCCAACAGATTTAGCTACCCAGGGCAGAAAAGAATTTAAAATACCTGAAATTCTTTCAATTGACTCTCGGACCGATCACATGTAAAAATTATTTTGCCCTGACTACTTCAATGGCTTAAAGTAGATTATGTCATCCCCCACTCAGTAAGGAAAACTAATGAGAATCTTTTTAAAAGGCAAAGTCCCGTTTTCATAGTCATGTGGGAGGAAAATGCTACACTTTCTATTCAGACGGAGCAGCAAAGGTGCAAAGCGTGAATAAATGGCCTCTCCGGGTGAAAGGATTAAACAAAACACATGAGTTAATGAAAGGTAAAAAAAAAACAAAAAACAAAAAAACAAAAAACAAAAAACACAAAACCGCTAGCAAAATTTTAAATTCCATTTGTTCCAGAATAAATTATACAGAAGCAGCTAGCATCATGACAAGAGGAGGTAAGCTGCCACCAGGGCAAACAGGTTGTCTGACGTAATGCGGGGTGTCAGAATGAAGCACCAGCCGTAAAGGAGGCGATGTTTGACTCTAGGGTCTATTGTGCTTAATTCAGGCACTCGGGACCATCAAGTCAGCTCAGGCTTCAGAAAAAGTGAATTCTTGTCTGCACAGATGATTCTCTATCACAAGAACGTAAACATAATATCTTCTTCTTATGGAACGTTCTTCTCTCGGCATTATTAAAGGTTTAAATGTGAGGTTAGGGATAAAACATAATGAGCACTTTTAGCTTAATTACTAGTCTGTGACAATTACTACTGATAAATGTTCGTTTCATTTAGTACTTTGATTTTTAAAGTAAATGAATAAACCGGAGCTTTTCAAATTCAGATCAGGATGCGAAAAGGGAAAAACACCTGAGAAAGGCTCAAAATTTCTTGGTCTTCCGCTTAACGGAAATCCCAGCATCGTGGAGTGAAATTTTACAACTGAAGCATCCGACTTTTTACACAAATGTCTTGGCTCCTGGGTTTGGGACATCCGCGTGGAATCGGAACATCCCGGGCAGGAGAACAGGGTAGGCCACAGGAATGTCTCTGCCCTTCCTATATAGATTACAAGACGGGAGTGATACATCGGCCTTTGCAAAAATCTGCTGAGAGAAGTACCAGCTGATAAGTTTCAGCGTTTCTGAGTTTTTACTACCCACTCCTCCAATGAGGCAAAGACAGCAGTTTGCTTGTTTGTGAAGAAGGGCTACCGCTCACATCAACTTCAGGTTCTCAGACAAGGCAGGGCATTGATGCCAAGAGATCCTCCCGCAGACACTTACCGGATGGGGTTGGGAGGAGGAGGGGGAAGCGGCGGTGGAGGCGGCGGCGGCGGAGGTACCGAATTCTCGGACTGGTTCACCCGCTTCTGGAGCTCGTCAACTGCACAGAGAGCAAGCGTTCAGAAAAGAGCCGAAACGGGCAACTTAACACAACACCTTTTCCCCACAGAGATGAAAACACACAGCCTCTCTCAAAATCAAGTTCCTTCTATTCGGGCAAAGTCAGAAATCTCAGTAGGAAACTGCAGAACGTCTTAACATGTTTATGCTCCAGGCTGCCCCCACTAATGCGAGAGAGGCCTTACACAGGTTACAAGAAAACATAACTGTCTTGTGGCTACAAATACAACTGTGGGAAAGAAAAATAAACTCAGGACAATGCTGGACGGGCGGGGAGTAAGGACCGAGTAGGCTGAAGAAATATTTGTTAAAACGGAATGCCACTCAAACACTAAGAAACTGTTAATACTGGACTTTTAAAATGTATAGACCGGGCATTAATTTTAAAGATGGCATTCAGTATGAATTTGAATAGCACGCTTTCCCCCACCACTTAATTTCCTTCAAAAATTGCAAATCCTCGAGTTCTTGATTTTAGCCAGACTCAGACTCTCAAAGGTCTGTTAACTTCAGAAACTGTTTGCAAAAAGCGAAGGAGCATTCTGGAAATACAATTTATCCATTCGATGCATTCACGTCATGAACGAAACAGGTATTTAAGCACCAACAGTGTGAAAGGGTCCATGCTTGGTGCTGTGCAAAGACACAGATTCTGAGTTCAAGAAGCTCGAGTTCAATGTGTACCACAGATGCGAATACCTCTAACATGGGCTCTGATAGGCTCTAGGCACTGAATACTGTTTGGACTCAGGAATGGCTCTCTCTGTCCCCAGCCAGTCCTCTCTCCATGAATGACTGCACCCCCAGTGATCTGCCTATTTGTTTCTACATATATAACCAAGCTGGCTTTGGCCACAGGCTGCCTGGGTATTCACTTAAAAAGAATGGAATACTTCTTAATTTTAGATCGAATTAAAAAGATAAATTGTGGTTCATTTTCATTGTGGGTTAGAAAGCATTGAATCCTTTTTAAAGGGAAAAAAAAGCCTACATGGTTCTTCCATACAGATTTCAAAATTCTAGTATAAAATTAACCGAAAAGCTGAAGTGAATATTGAAGCTGTTATAAAAGGGAATGGCCTGCCTCCTTAAATCACCTATCTTCCGACAGAAACTTATTACTTATCCCTGTGGAATAATCCAATTCACACATTCCTGTCAAGCCTTCTTAGAACTGACTGAATAAATCCTTTGATTTAAATATCCCCTGGTGTTTTAAAAGTTTTTCCACTTAATATACATATTGTTGCCCATTTTATTGTTAGCTGTGATACTGAAAGTATTAGTTCATGGGTATAATTAGACACCAAACACGAGGGCTGTATGAACCTTTAAAGTTGAATTCTTCTTAGAAACGCGCCCTAAAATGAACAACGTACGAACTCCACGAACACTCCTATCTGAAGCCCTGAGAAATGCTGAAATGTTGGTCTTCTCATATTAGCGGTGTCTTTGTCTCTTAATTCTGTATGTGAAGCTCACGAACAGGGAGTCCAAAAAAGAGGCCTAAGGGCTCGCGGATCATTGGAGAACAGTGGCCATTCGACTCAACTGCAGTTACTTGCGTATTCAAGCACTGGGCAAGGGTTCTGGACTAGCTACCGGCCCAGCTTGGGGCTGGGCGTGGGGAATTCACAGACTGCTAAGACGCGGGAGCCCACTTGATGCTTTTACCGGAATGCTTTAAATCTCTGGCTTTCTCCTCAGAATTTTGGTATTTCAATTCCAATTCCTTTTTATCTTCTTCCAGAAGCCCCAGCTGCTGTTTAAGGTTGCGTATCTCTCTGTGGAGTGCTCCGTTTTCTAGCTGCTCCTCTAAGTCTTTCACCTGGAATTTATAAACAGAACTTTACAGTCTTTCCTTTGTCAAGCAAAAATAAAGGGGAAAAACATCATTGTTTCCCTTTACTTTCCAATTCATGACAAAGAGATTCCAATCTATCCTAAAAACCACCCAAATCCTAGAGTACAGTCAATGCTTAAAATACCAGCTATGTGAGTCGATATAAATTTATTGGAGACTTAATATCCCAGATAATTAAATGTGTAAACATGGGTCAAAAAGGTAACATAATACCTATGAAATTCATTTAAAACAGATTATTACTTTCATACCCATTTTCAAGAGAACATTAAAGTAGCATGAAAAAGAACCCTTGGGGGACAATTAGGTAACAAGTATCAAAAACCTTTAAAAAACAAAAAAAGAAGAAAGAGGGGTGCCTGGGTGGTTCAGCTGGTTAAGCGACCGACTCTTGAATTTGGCTCAGGTCATGATTCCCAGGCTGTGGGATCGAGTTCCCAGGCTTAAGATTCTTTCTCTCTGGGGGCGCCTGGGTGGCTCAGTCAGTTGAGCATCTGACTTCGGCTCAGGTCATGATCTCACAGCTCGTGAGTTCGAGCCCCGCGTCGGGCTCTGCTGACAGCTCAGAGCCTGGAGTCTACTTCGGGTTCTGTGTCTCCCTCTCTCTCTCTCTCTCTGCCCCTAACCCACTCACATTCTGTCTCTGTCTCTCTCAAAAATAAATATTAAAAAAAATTTAAGATTTTTTTCTCTCTGCCCCTCCTCCCATTCATGCATGCTCGCTCTCTCTCTCTCTCTAAAATAAGAAAGAAAAGAAAAGAAAGAAAGACCATTTGATTCAGCAATACTACTTTTAAAATTTGCCTTAAAGAAATAGTAAGACGGGGTGCCAGGGTGGCTCAATTCGTTAAGTGTTTGACTCTTGAGATTGGCCCAGGTCACGATCTTGCAGTTTGTGAGACTGAGCCCTGCGTCAGGATCTGTGCTGCTAGTACAGAATCTACCTGGGATTCTCTCTCTCTCCTTCTCTCTCTTCCCCTCACCCACTCGCTCATGCAGGCTCTCTTTTCCTCTCTCTCTCTCAAAATAAATAAACTTTACAAAAATCTTAAAAAAAAAAAAAGAAATAGTAAGATACGTATTCAAATATGTTCACTACAGTGTTCTTATTAACAGGGAAGAATTGAAAATAAATATCCACCAATATTATCGATTTAAGGAATCATAGCGTGTTCACTAAATGAGGTCCTATATATACAACCATTTAAAATCACACAGCTCACTACACACTGACACAGGATGATACGTTACCAGCTGGAAAAAAAAAAAAATCAGATTGTAGAACAGTAGGCACGGTATTATTCCATTTAAACTACCTTCATAAAATTCTCTATTTGCATAAAGCTTGGATAGGTACCAAAATATGGAATTCTTGGGTAATCTTCATTTCTTCTTTAACTTGTACCACATTTTAAAAGTTTGTTCATTAGATGAAGTATGTGTTGTTCTCATCATCGTGAAAACAACACAGCGTTGAAAAGATTGCTGGGAACTCTGCAGGGGATCCCACAGACAGGGGAGAGCTATTTAAGACCACACGCATGAAAGACCACCCAGAGGAAGTATATATTCTAACGTAACCGCCTTACAAGTCCTGATTGCTACAACTGCATTCACGATGTGCTCAAATTTAGTATCACCTATTCTCTCTTCCTACCCCGACAAGGTAGATATACAGTGGCTGAATCCCACACCTCAGGTCAATTCGGTTGGCTCTAGGCCCATGTTATTTACTAAATGCGCTAACTACAACTAGTAAGACTTTTCAAAACTGAGACAACTCCAACACGAGCTGAATGAACATAACCCTTCTTTTATCCTCCCTCTCTTTATTTGAAATGGTAATTCCTGCACGTGGGGACCAAAAGAAAAAAAGAAAAAAATTCTCTCCTCCCCGCTCTATTCCCTAGGTCTCCTCCCAGGGGCAACCGCTGCCACTCTCCACTCATCTGGAGGTTCTACGCATACACCAACATTCCTCACTGAGGGGGAAAAAAAAATCAACTCTGCCTCATGACCAACTTTGTAAAAACTCCAGAAACTTCCGAGGATTAAACGTCAATATTATCGCTGAGAGAGACTTTGACAGGTGATGATAAAACGGCAGCCAACAACCTTTTCTTCACAAACGAGGTACGCTGTGAGTAGTATAAATATTGATGTAATTTTTCTTAAGTGGTTTCTTTAACTTCACAGTCTTTGTTCCACCTCTTCGCCTGCCCACCCCTCCCGCCTCCTCTCTCTCACCTACCGGGATGACGATCTTTTCTGCCTGGCGCAGGAAGGTGGGCTGTGTCTGCTGGAATCGCTCCACTCGAACAAAATGAAATAACCACTTGGGAAGTCTTTAAACATATATATTTGTGCGAGTTTTACAAAATCGGAAATTTTCTCTAAGCAAACAATTACTACTAACGTGGACGCTCCCTCCCTCTTTGAACAAAACCCATGCCTTCCAAAGAGCTCTCCGAGACAAACACACTTCTCGCGGTGTATGCGGTCTCCAGAAACACAATCAACTCGCAGATGTCCCAACCGTGCTTTCTGGGCCTTAACCAAGCTCCTTGCGAGTGCTCTCTCTTTCCCTCGTTTCTTCAGTCCTTTGGACAGTTTAAAGATCATTATGAAGTCTGGGATAGTGCGCTCTAAATCTTCAACTGGGTACTAAATTAACTTCATTTGCTGGTGACATTTTTCTAAAAAACGAGAAGACTGGAAAGACTCACTAATGCCAAGGAGGGAGCTCTATCTAGGGACCGCATTGAGCCCTCTCTTGCAGGTTGGTGTGTATCCAGGCTCCAGAAGAAAACCTGTTACCTTCTTCTGATGCTGAATTCTCTCTTCTTCAAGTTGCTGGACAAGTTTTGCATTTTCTTCTAAAGCTTTCAACAGCTGCTGGTCGGGGGCAGAGCTCTGCAGCAGAAGATGGCTCTGTCTCTTGAGCTTGTTCTGTTCGATGAACATCTGTAAGAGGGAAGGACAAAAAGATATACGTGCCAATCAATCTCGCATATCTCCCCAACCGAAACCAGAGCAACAGGAAAGCACGTGGAGCTTCTGTTAAAAAATTAAAGGCGGGACGCCTGGGTGGCTCAGTCGGCTGACCATCTGACTCTTAGTTTTGGCTCAGGTCATGATCCCGTGGTTTGCGAGATCGATCCCCACGTCAGGCTCTGCACTGACAGGGTGGAGCCTGCTTAGGGTTCTCTCTCCTTCTCTCTCTGCCCCTCCCCCACTTGTGTTTTCTCTCTCTCTCTCTCTTTCTCAAAAATAAATATATAAACATTTTTTAAAAAGTTAAAGACGATTGCTGAATGGTACAGTATCATAGTTCTAGAAGTAATGACCCCTATGATTTCAACCATAACTTTGATGCTGTCTTCAAGGACTTTCACCCTTGCCCCAATTAGGCATATATGCAATAAATGAGTCTTATTTTATACCTCAGTTTTTCATTGTTTTATTGTTTTAAAATACATTAATACTTAATAGTCTTGACTAATAGTTATCAAGAACTTATCTTATACCAAGTACTCTACTAAATATTTTATACGTGTTATTTTAATCCTTACATAAATCCTATGAGTTAAATACTTCTTTTTTGAATAGCTAAAATTTACTAACACTATGTGATAGATGCAGTGTTGATTTCACACGTATCACATCATCTAATCCCTAGAACAACACTGTTAAGTAGATGCTATTAGTATCTCATTTTTACTAATAAGGTAACTGAAGTCAGAGAGGTTAAGCAACTTTCCCAAGAACACATGAAAGTGGCAAAACCAGGATTTAAGCTAAGATCTGTCTGATTTCGAGGCCTAAGCTCTCCACCACCTGGCTAATCTCCTTCCTCTGATATTTACTAAACCTAATGTTTTGTTTTAAACCAATTAGCTTTTCCCCAGTGATAAAAGTAGTTAAGTTAGGGGGGGTCAAGAAGAAATGGGAAAAGGTACATTAATGTTTACTGGCCGCTTTACTAAGCAACTTACATACGTTATTCACCTAGTCTTCACAAGGTTACATTTTTGAATACGACATTATTCTCTATGAACCTGTTGCTTCTTTTCCTTAATATCCCTCCACACGTTAGCCACCAGGTGATTCTACACATGAGATGTTTCATAAACTCTGAAATCAGGCCCATGTTATTATAGTAGAGATTCAGAGTTTCAGATTCTTTTTTTTTTTTTAATTTTTTTTTTTAACGTTTTATTTACTTTTGAGACAGTGAGAGACAGAGCATGAACAGGGGAGGGGCAGAGAGAGAGGGAGACACAGAATCTGAAACAGGCTCCAGGCTCTGAGCTGTCAGCACAGAGCCCGACGCGGGGCTCGAACTCACGGACCGCGAGATCATGACCTGAGCCGAAGTCGGCCGCTTAACCGACTGAGCCACCCAGGCGCCCCCAGAGTCTGAGATTCTTAAAGGCATTTGAGAGTAAAACTGGCATCCGCCTTCCACCAGACAGCTCATTCCTGCGTAAGAATGGAATGTGCCGAGGAGGCGTGAGGGAATGGGTGTTTGTGCACACGCATAGGTGCTGCGCACCAGGACGGTGAGGTCAAAGGCATTGCCGTGCTAGGGAAGAGCCATCCAGGTTTGGCATCTGAAACCAGCAGTATAATTGAAATGAGCTATTCTGAGTTACAGAATTACAGTAATGTTTTAAGGCATTTTTCCCCTCTTAAAACATTATTATTATTATTATTATTATTATTATTATTAATGTTTTAAGGCATCTTCCCCTCTTAAAACTTTTTACTATTATTACAGTAATGTTTTAAGGCATCTCCCCCTCTTAAAACATTATTACTATTATTATTATTATTATTGCTATTATTACTATTACAGTAATGTTTTAAGCCATTTTTCCCCTCTTAAAACTCAACTTGATTGGGGTCCCTTGCCGGTGTCTTCGCAAATACCTTAGAGGGGAAACAGGAAGGCCTGAAAATAGCAGCCAGAGTCACTGAGTTCTCTGGCTTTCCGGCAAGTGAGGGCTTTTCCCAAGAGTGCTTGGTGGCCAGGAGCAGAAAGAGAGGCAGCAGTTGGTGTGGGCGAGCAGGACAGAGCCGGTGAATTCAGCAGACGAACAGTGCTGGGCACAGGCCACTGTCATCAGCCAAGGCACGGCTGTGTCCCTCTCACCGCACTGCTTCTCTGAGCTCCCGTCCTCTCTTGGGGGAAAGACACGGCACTCGGGAAAACTTGTTCAAATTTACACGATCAAAAATTATCTCAACTTGGTTCTTTTGAAAAGAAAAGGTGAGGATTATGTCTTGGGGATGTTAATAATGTGAATTTCTTTCTCAAAACCCTGTAACAATCCCTAAATAGTAAAAGCATACAATGAAAAGAACATACAGAAAATAAATTCCCCTAGGTAATGATGGTAACGTGAAAAGACTCAGTCTGACTTTTTCTAGACTTTAAGACACGAACATGAAATATTCTACACAACGCCTTCTAACGATGTGTTTAAAGGAAATTCAGTGACCAAATGCCTATGACTTTGGCTTTTAACTATGATAAGAACTTGACAGCTAGGGTTAGGGAGGTTAGTCTCTTATCACACAAACATAGATTCCAGAATTTTGGAGGAATTTCATGAATCTTTTCAAAGAATGAAAAAGAGAAGAAAAGCCTGTGTCATTAATATGTAATTCATTCTTTCCGGAAGAATATTAAATATCACCAGAGTTGTCTGGGAGAAGAACAGAACCGATTACACAACAGTCCCCTAGTATATCCAGACTACACTCGGAATGAGGCACCCATGCTTTCTAATAAGGAAAACTACACTGACTAGCAAGAAAAACTATATTCAAAAAGTACAGGAAAATCTTCCATTAAAAACTAAAATTACATCGGAGCACTTGGGTGGCTTAGTCAGTTAAGTGTCCGACTCTTGATTTCAGTTCAGGTCATGATCTCATAGTTTGTAAGATCAAGCCCCATATCAAGCTCTGTGCTGATAACATGGAGCCTGCTGGAGATTCTCTCCCTCCCTCTCTCTCTGCCCCTCCCCTGATCACCCGCATGTACTCTCTCTCTAAGTAAATACATAAACTTTAAAAAAAGAAAAAATACTGTTTCTATTAAAAAAATGAAATTACACTGAAGAAAACACAAAAACTTAACACAGGAAGACAACTGGCTGTTTCTTCCTTATTGAGGGAGGGTCCTGTTTTTGGTTTGTTTTTCTATGTTGCCTTTTTTTCACCCATTTTTTTCCATCCCCTCATGCTCCCCTCCCCTCTGGCAACCACCAGTCTGTTCTCTGTATTTATGGGTCTGTTTCTGCTTTTGTGTTGGTTTTGTTTAGACTCCACACGGAGGTGAAATCATATTTGTCTTTCTCTGACTTACTTCACTTAACCTAATGCCCTCTAGATCCATCCATGCTGTCACAAATGGCAAGATCTCCTTCTTCTTTGTGGCTGAGTAATATTCCCATGTGTGTACGTGCATGTGCATTTTTTTAAAAAGAAATTCTGGTTGTGACCCACTAACTTGCATGCTCATTTATTTTATTTTTGAGAGGGGGGGTGCGGCAGAGAGAGGTAGGGACACAGAATCCAAAGCAGGCTCCAGACTCTGAGCTGTCAGCACAGAGCTCAACGCAGACCTCAGACTCACGCACCGCGAGATCATGACCTGAGCTGAAGTCGGACACTTAATTCACTGAGCCACCCGGGTGCCCCCACATGCACTTTTTTTTAATGGACAGGTAGAAGTAGGAGTGTGGAGAAAACTCCCCATTTTTTTACTCTACACATTTTAGAACTGTTTGTATTTTTTACAAGGTATATGCATTCCTTTTGTGGTTAAAAACATGAAGTAAGTTAACTATTGAATTCTAAGGCTCCAGACCTTAAGCTCCAGAAGGGCAGGGGTCATAGCTGCTTCCTTCGCCATTATAGTCCCCCCACCCCCCGATGAGCGCAGACACTGGCTTCTGAAGATGTTTGCTAAATGCACTAAAAACCAAAATGCAAAAGAGTCACTTCTCTTGTCAAGTCATGCACTGTTGAGCAGTAGTTTTCCGTGGAAAAGCTGAGAATCTGTCAACCGTGCAAAGGGGAAGGTATATGGCTTCCAATCTGACCATATTTTGAAAAAAAACCAGTTTTCTTCTTGCTATTGTGCACATCGGATGTAGATACTATAAAAAAACATCGAGCACCACTGCAAGTACTGAGGGCACCAGTAAGTGCCCTTGCTCTCCCTCCTCCCACCTCCGTCTCCTCGTGCCAGGGTCACAGGTCAGCGTCGCGTTTCCGCCCGTCACTACCAGGTGAAGGGCAGGGTCCACCACTCATTTTCATATTCTTAGCAGAATCCTGCTTCCCCCGTCTATCTTCTCTGCTGCTGCGTGGCCTTCAAGTTTTCTTCGAGCTGCTTTGTATTCTAATATTGTTCCACGAACAACAGATGTAAAAGTGAAAATGTCTCTCAAAATCAGACGCTGGCATTCGGGTCGAAAACAAGCCAGCCTTTTCAGTTTTACGGTGGAGGCGTCTTCACATCATCCCTACTCTCGCTCCCCCTCGGCTGTTTATCTGGTGCCATTATTTACATCGCTGTAGCTTTTCCGAAGGGCTCTGACACACTTCAATTCTTTTCTCTTTCTTCCAAGTAACAAGAGAACAATTTTTACTCACCTTTCATTAAACTCTCTGAATAAAATGAATCATAATATTTCAAATTGACGTCTCGGACGAAACCTTTTACAGAGTTCATTGCTAGCACAGCTACATTCGAGTGCAGAAAGACTCCTGCACAAAACCATAATCTGATTTTCAAATGTCATTCCCATAACCCCACGCTTTGTCTTCCTTCTACACCTTGGTTACTTCTACCTATGAATGTTTTACATTTCCTTAGCTACTTTCTGGCACAACCTACAGGGCACAGGCAGACTCAAACTGCTTCTAGGTAGATGGAGATCTCGGGCAGAGCAGCGCCATATCACAAGCTGTTATAGTTCAGCCAACTGGTGCCTCATCGTTTCCCTGTAAACCAGCCCCAGGGCCATGAAAAACCCAGTGACGACAGGTCAACGAAGGGTGGTCGGAACATGAGAAGCTCAAAGCTGATCTCTGACACGAGAGGAAAACCATTATTCTGGCAAAAGGCCGAGATGATGGGTATACAGCGTGGCAGTGTTCCACAGCAAGTGAAAGAATCAGCTTATGTAAGGAGATCACCGTCTAGGAGGTGAAGAGAAATACTAACACCATGATACTGTTGTTTGGGGTGGTATTGGAGGTGGACCCTGGATTCTTAGGGCTTTTTGAAATATACAGGAATCCCGTACTCAAGCGGGACTTCTCATCGTAAGTTACAGGCATCCCCAAATAGAATTTCTTTCCCTTGTACAGCATGTTACAGTACAAAATCCTGTACCAGGATTGAAGAATCCTGCCATGTGATTTTGAAATCACTTGGCTGAGCCACTAGCAAGCATCACCCATTTTACAGACAGTGAAAGTGAAGCCCCAAGAAGGCTAATACTCTTAAGTCATACGACGAGTGACTGACTGACGTGGCCAAAATTTGAACCCAGATCTACTGACACCACATCAGGGACCTTGATGCTATTTCATAGCCGCCTCCCTTATTTTAAGTGATAAGTTTTGGGGTGCCTGGCTGGGTCGGTTGGTAGAGCATTCAACTCTTGATCTCTAGATTGTGAGTTTGAGCCCTCATGTTGTGTGTACCGATTACTTAAAAAAATATATTAAAAAATCTTTAGAAACCAAGTGGTGAGTTCTTATTCAATTTCAAAACCTATTTTGGGGGCTTGGTGGCCTTAGCCTGTTGTTGCCGGGCCGACTTCCGCCTAGGGTCACGATCTCAGCGTGTCTGAGTTCAAGTCTTCAAGGCTGCCTCTCTGCTGGCTGATGGTCTACATTCGGAGCCTGCTCTCCGATTCTGTGTCTCCTCTCATTCACTTGTTCATGTTTGTTCTCTCTGTCTCAAAATAAATAAATGTTAAAAAAAAAAATTAAAAAAAAAAAAAACAACCTATTTTGATATGTCATCTCCAAAGTTCTTTAAGAAACAAACATTTAAAACTAGGTCTCTAGAGGGGTGCCTGGTTGGCTGAGTCGGTTGAGGGTCTCCACTGCCAGGTCAAGACATCTTAAGTGTTTGTTAGGTTCTCCCAGTGCCCCATGGGGCTCGCTGGTGTGCTGACAGCTCGGAGCCCGGAGCCTGCTTTGGATTCTGTGTCTCCCTCTCTCTCTGCCCCTCCCCTGCTCATGCCCTGTCTCTCTCTCTCTCTAAAATAACAATGTGCTAGCTTGCAGGGCGCGGCGAGTCGGTTAAGCTGCGTCTCACTTTCAACTGGTCACGATTCCTCATGTCTGGAGCTCGAGTTCGCCAGGCTCTGGGCTGATGGCTGATGGCTCAGAGCCTGGAGCCTGTTTCTGACTTCTGTGTCTCCCTCTCTCTCTCTGCCCCTCCCCCGTTCATGCTCTGTCTCTGTCCCAAAAATAAATAAACGTTGAAAAAAAATTTTTTTTAAAAAAATAAATAAATGTTTAAAACAATTTTTTAAAAAACGAAAAAACTAGGTCTCTGGATACTTACCTCTTGTGCAAATGACTCCGCCTTCTTTCGAAGGTCCTTCTCCAGTTGCAAGTTAACCTGCATCTCTTCATACTCTTCTACCGCCAGCATGGACACTGAGGAGAGGAGGAAAAGAAATGGACAAGACACAACACAGACTATCAGGAAGATGGGTGAAAAGCAGTGCTGAAGAGATTCTTTGCATCGGCACGCAAGCACCCTCATCCATAGCTGCTTGGAATATAAATTGATCAAACCTTTTTGGAGGACAACTCGGCGATGTGAATCAAAAATCCAAAACCATTCATGCCCTCTGACTCGACACTTGCACGTTTAGGAAGGTACTGATTCCCCCGAGAGAGCAAATCATGAACACGTCCAGAGGTTAAGCTGCGAGAATGCTCTCAGCATTGCCATAGACGACAGTGAAATCATCCAGATGGTTCCATGGGGGACGACCAGTAGAGTATATAATTTACAAGAAATATGATTCTGCCATCGAAATGACATTGTAGAAGCATATTTCTTGAACCAAAAGACATTCGTGGTATTTTTTTTAAATGAGCTTACTTCCCTTTTTTAAAAGCTACAGATCTACAAGGCCTTTCGCAGAAGACGAAACGTGAGAGGCCAGTGAATGTGTGGAAAGATACTCATCTTCATTAGTAATCAGAGAAATGGAAAGTAAAACCACAGGCACCTTTTTATACTCACAAGGAGGGAACTGGCAAAAATTAAGGAGAGTTACACCAAGTCTGGAGAGGATGAAGAACATGGGAACAAACGCACTGGTAACCAGAATGTAAACCTACTTAGTAAGTCCTCTGGAGTCACGCAGTGGGACAGAGGATAAACTTGTATTTGGCGTGGATCTTAGTGAAATGCTTGGATATGTGCGCCAGGAGACGCCTGTGAGAATTTTCATGACCGTCTGACTTGGAATAGCAAAAAACTGGAAAAAACCTCAAACATCCACCAACAGGATACTGGGTCAATGAATTTTGGTATAGACATCGAATGGCATATTGTGCAGCAGCGAAAATCAACACACCACACCAATGGCCTTCAGCAGGGATAGACCCCACAAACCCAGAAAGTTGCAGAAGCACACATGTGAAGGGCTACCATTAATATAAAGTTCAAAAATATGCAAAATTAAACAACGTGCTGTCTAGAGATATCTACATAGTTGGTAGAACTTATTATAAAGAAAAGAAATGATAAAAATCCAAGGGGTACAAAAGGAGACTGATGTTCAGGGAGCTTGTAAAGTACCAGTGGGTAAAGAGATTATTTCTTTGCTGATACTTTCTTCATCTTCCATAAATGTTATGAACACATTTAGCAAACAATTTAACAGAGAGAGAGCTTTCTTTAGATTGGAAGAATATACACGATGTTAATAGCGCTTTGAACTGTAAACCTTGAAATTTTTTCCCTTTTCCTATTCCTACATGAATCTATACTTTCCACCAAAAAAGTATACTACCTGAATAAAAAGGAAAAAATATATATATGTGTGTATAATATATATAAATATATATAACATAAAAATATATACACACACACGTGTGTGTATATATGTATACATATGTATACATATGCACACACATATGTATACGCATATATGTTGTTTTTAAGTATCTTCCATGTTTATAAAGAGAAACGGGCTCAGATCCATTCAGGCCCAGAGTCAGAGCTCTGAATTAAAGAATCAATGCAGGACAGACATCTTCCAAGGCAAGGTCCTGTCAAATAAGAGCAACGTGAAAGCTTTGCTACTTTTTGACATTTTGCGGCCTGTGTTGTTAAATAATGATATAGACAGGCCAGAGGGAGTGATGGCGGTGTTAGAAATCAGGCACAACATAGGTAGATATCACACTAGTCTCTCAATCTGCCTCTGGAGAGGTACTTTCAAGCCCGAGCTGAGTCATATCAATAAAATCTTTAAAAAGGCTCTCTTAATGGCTCCTTTCACACAACGTTCCGCCAGGACACTTCAGTCCTAACTGACTAAGGACGGGTTTGCCGTGTAATGACATAGAATTTCAAACTCTGTACACCGTAAATCTACTGCCTTCTCAGAGGAAAGACTAAAAGTCTTACCAAGTAAAGCAACAGAAGTGGTGGTCTGTGATGTGAATTATAGGTCCCTGAGAGCTAAATAATTTTCAAACCTATTTAAAAAAAGAAATTTCAGGAAGAAAACAAAGACGGCGGTGAGTATCGGAAGCCCCGGCAAGATAATTGACTCTCTTTTCTATGTCCAGAGCACCATAATACAAAGTGAATTTGCACATGTCCTGGCCCTCTTTACTTGGATTCTGAAAGAAATTAGGTTGGTCCTAGTCATGCATTTACATAATCTCTCTCTCTTCCTAGATACAGGGTTCTCTGAAGGCAAGGACCCATGTGATTAACCTTCGTAGAACCCCCTGCTTCTAGCACAGTACGTCAAGACCATTACTATCTTCCTAAATGTGGAGACAGCCGAGCAAATGTCACAGTCTATCACATCTCCCACACTTAACTACGAGGTCCTTCATTTATTCAAAAACCTCAATTCGTGACACAAAGGTGGAGAACCACCACCAATCACAACAGGGAAGGCTGGAAGATTTCCTTTCAGTGTTGGAGCTTCTGAACTAGAAATGAGAGTGAATGGGCCGGG